ACATATTCACTGCCTGGGCTGTGACTAGTATTTCATGGTCCCTGCACAGAAGAAGCCCCATCGTTTCTGTACTTTTTATGTTTTTGTAGCTCAACTTGGAACCACTTATTGTCCTAACCACATTTCTTTCCTCGACTCCCTACTAGGTTTTCTTTTTCCTCTTCCCGCTAGCTCAGCAGATAAAGAAATTGAAGATGCATTAGTTATGCAAGCACATAGGGCTGGAGAACTGGCTGGAAAAAGAGAGACTGCAGACGGGCCGTGACGAGAGCGACAATTGCAATGGACCTGCTGACTGATGCTGATTATTTTAACTAGCCAGTTTAAGTTGGCAAAGACATAAAATGTACGATCACTATGATCGTCATGTACCTTGTCTAATAGCTAATGCGTGCGTGTCTCCCTCCCCCCTCCAGCGCTTTTCCACAAGCAATCCTCCTGACCATCCAGCATGATTTCTCTGTTCCTGTCTCTGCCTATTTTACTATTGATCTTTCCGATTATTATAATTCAAAGTAATTTTTTTTAATTGCCAAATTTAAATAATGCGGTCACAAATAACAACTGCAAAATTCAGTGCCCGACATATTAGCGAAATACAGCGAAATAAATGGTGCATTTTCATATCAGCATTATTTTAATCCCTATTGGATACCGTGGATATTTTGGAGTGCCTGGAAATGAGAAAGCTGATCAATTGGCAGGGAAAGCTGCGACAAAAGTGCAGCCGGATGAACCAGTCACATACCACCAAAAGAAATGGATAATTAAATCGATCAGGAAACCACCAAACTCAGCACAAGACGACTATTTTATTAAGGACAGATCAGAACAAGTCATTATTCTCCGCCTCAGAACAGGGTACAACCGATTACGTAACCACATGTACAAACAATTCAAGATAGGCCTATCAGCCATGTGCACCTGTGGAAAGGTGTCCCAGACAGCGAGCATATACTCCAGGACTGCACCAAATTTGACACATTTAGGCAAACCTTTTGACCAGAAATAAAAACAGTGGAACGTTAACCCTATGGACCACTAAATGAACTAACAACGACAGTGAAATTCATACAAGAGACAAAACTGCTGATAAAGACAATTTATTTCATGAGAAAGAAAGAAGAAAGAGAGGATCCCCAAAAAGTTAACAATACCCCTAATTTCATCATACAAACTAACCCCCCCCCCCCCCGCTCCCCAAGCAATTTCCTCCCTTCCCGTATTTGTGTTCATTATTCAGTTAAACATCTTAAGGCAGCTGTGTTTAGTTGCATAATCTGCAGTATTCACAAAAAGCATATCGTATTTTCTTCAAATATCAAACTTAACTTCCATACAGCAGAACAAATTCAACACAAAATCTCAGTGATTTCTTTTTAGCATTTGATTTAAAAAAAGAATGACTCAAAGCATACATATTTTAACTGTAGCATGAATTGCGAGCGATTATTAATTTCAAAACATGGTATACTTACATATCTTTGTTTATTAGAATGCAAGAATTTTGATTTCACATACTGCTATAATCACTTCTAAGAGACATTGAACAGTGATGCACAGTGTGCCTTCTAGTTATTGTTGTTGTTTTTGTTCTTCTTCTTCTTCTTCTTCTTCTTCTTCTTCTTCTTCTTCTTCTTCTTCTTCTTCTTCTTCTTCTTCCTCTTCTTCTTCTTCTTCCGTTTTTTTTTTCTGCCCCCTACCTTACCTTCCCGTTCCTTTTGTATCCTTTTTTCTCATTCACCGTGTCATCATCATTATCTAAAAAAAAAAAAAGATGTATGTTCTCTTGCCGATGAGCTTTGTAAACTTATATTAAATTTTCCCCGACTGTTCTCGATGTAAGTTTTGAATGGTCTTTCCCTTGCGCTGTGCTCAACACATGTCTTCGACAAGGGCCTCTCTGGTAACTAGTACCATGGCATTCTTGCCAGGTAATCAGCTTGTACTCGATTGTTATTTCGCAAGTTGTTCAAACTCTTGTTCAAAAAAGTTATGACTCTTCACTGCACCCATTTTATCGCGATAAAACCCCAACGGTGCTACGATATTTTTGCATACCTGTAAAAGTTCATCAGTGTCTGTGCTAATGCCTAAAGCGAGCGGAAGTTTTGAATGATCCTGTTCCATTACAGAGACTGCCTGTTTCAAGCCATGGAATATAAAAGGCCTTAATTCGCTGTCTTCTTGGCCCTGCGCTGGTTTCCCGTAGATTTCAATGTTGAAAACATTCATAGTTGGAGTCTTGTAGTGGCAACACAAAACTAAGAGACCGCGTGCTGTTTCCTTGGAATTTGTTAAAGACTTTTCTACATTAGAAATAGTAGTTAACTGTTCTATACTTTCTCCAAGTACAACTGATATGCTTACCCGTGGATGCTGTTTCTTTATGTGTTTGATGTTGCTGACCAATGGATCGAAAAACCATGAATTAACGACCAGGAATCCCAAAGGAAACAGATATGTGGACAATTCCTTCACCTCAAACAGGAAGCGGAGAATCTCAGGGTCGACGGTCCGGACTTCAGAGATGTCATCAGTATAAGAGGCTGGTACTTTTACAACATCGAGAGGATCATATACTGTAAAAGCCTGCAATACACACAGTTTTATATATATTTATATTGCAGATGATATGTGAGTCATCAGCCAAAGTAAAGAACATCTGTAACAAAAGACAGAAAAGATCACAGAAATAGTAAAACAGACAGGGTTAGGAATTGATGTCAGTAAAACAAAACTGCTGGAGGTAAACCCTAAAAGGTAAAGACCTATAGTGATAGATAATGTAGGTTTGTAATCAGTAACTGACTTCACTTACCTGGGAAGCAAAGTTTCCTTCGATGGAAATGCAGGGGTTGAAATCATGCAGAAAGCTGCAAATGCTGCTTACAGCAGACTTCAGAGAGTCTGGAGATCAAACATCTACAGCGCTAAAACTAAAGTCAGGATATACAAAACATGCGTTGGGACAGTTCTCCTCTATGGAGCAGAAACTTGCAAAACAGACAGAAAGATAGAGAACATGCTCAGAAGTTTTGAGGGAAGACTTCTCAGAAGATTGTTGGGGTTTACATGGGAAGATAAAATCAGCAATTCTAGATTACAAAAAATGACAGACTTAGACGATGTAAATTTAGAAATTAAAAAGCAAAGATGAAGGTGGATTGGACACGTCTTCATAATGAAGAAAGAGAGACGACCGAGAGAGGCAATGCGATGGACACCACAAGAACAGCGAAGAAGAGGTAGGCCCAGATGAACTTGGAGGCGAACATTTAAAGCCGAACTCAAGGCTACGCCAAGGACAGAACTGGAGATATAGAGGAGGTCGAATTGAGTGGCGACAGTTTGTCTCTGCCTTATGTGCCTCTGGGCGCGATAAGGATATATATATATATATATATATATATATATATATATATATATATATATATATATATATGTGTGTGTGTGTGTGTGTGTGTGTGTGTGTGTTCTTAAAAATGGTGCCGGCAATCTCCCTAAAGTTTCTAAAAAGGAATCATTGATCACGCGGTAGCGATGAATCCCCGTATGAGTTCCAAGCCCCCATTGTGTGTGTGTGGGGGGGGGGGAGGGAGGGAGAATGAGACACACTGCCTCCCTAACAAGCATGTCGTAAGAGTCGATCAAGTAGGACTTTCTTCAAAGTCGGAGTGCTTTTGCCGGGAATTCCAGGAACCAACAGTATGAATACAAATAAGCCAGATCTGTCAATCGGATGTTCACGCAGTATTCAAGTGCTGAAATAAGACCTAAGTCCAGAAGTGGACCAACAACGCAACAACGAAAACTTTTCAGCGAAGTTTACAGCCAGTTAATTTAAAGAAGAAGAAGAAGAAGAAGAAGAAGAAGAAGTGTTAAATCTGTATGTGTATATATATATATATATATATATATATATATATATATATATATATATATATATATATATATGTATATATATATATATATATATATATATATATATATGTGTGTGTGTGTGTGTGTGTGTGTGTGTGTGTGAGAGAGAGTTTCCCTACACAATTCCTGACAATTACATTTGAGGTCTTAAACATCCGCGTTTGCGCAGTCGATAGGAGGCTCGCTTTCAAAGCCAACTGCGACTCGCTGCACGGCCGGTGTTCGAAACCGGGCGGTTCCCCGGGGTTCACCCAGCCTCTAGGATATGAGTACTAGAGTTGACACTCTAGGGTAAATGAAGGAACGTCGCTGTAGCTACGGAGTTGCTTGCGGACGCGGACACAGGCGGACAGTTTTTTTTTAATCAGTCATCTGAACTGGTGGCAGAGCACTTATGGTTTATAACCGTGCGCAATGACGCTGGTTCACATCTCCCGACTTTACCCAAACAACGTAATTCATACACCAGATGTCATCATCATCTCTTGAATGCGGATTAGTCTGTAGATAATCTGTGTCTAGCACTACGAGTGCTGAATGCGCCATTGTAATCCATTTTCCTTGTTTAATTTTATATTTGCTCCGTAACACGCCAAGGTTCTTTTTAAAGTCCAAGTCCAAGTCCTTTTTGAGAAAAAAAAAAAAAAAAAATGAAAAGCTCGACCACGTTGTGACTGCTGCTAGCTAGCCGAGGCTGCTAGCAGTCTCCGCCTATATTTGTGGTCTGAAACACTGATCTAAAATCATATCAATATTATTTACTCTAATGTCTTGATAACTGCTGGTGTTAAATGGTATAAGACAAACAAAGTAACTATTTACTGGACACATCCTGAGGAGAAGTGATTAGATAACCACCAAAAAGGCACTTAAACAAGAAACAAATGGACCAAGGAGGCAAAAACGCTCAAAATAAACCATAAGATGAATGTTGATGAGAGAGGCCTACGGTTTTCATTTAGATTCTATTCACGATACTGAAAAAAAAATGGCACAGGGTATAGCGGATTGAGGAGTAGACTCCGAGGGCTATGCGACGTATAACGGCACACATGATGATGATGGTGATATCTTACCCTAGTCCCAAGCAATCGGTTCTGGCTCCTGAACGTAGCGCTGTCCACCAGTCTGACAATATTCGCGCAGCAATTTCGAATTCGCTTCTGCCCAGGAACATCTTTATAATCTTCATAGATTTTCTTTCTAATCTGATTCAGGAGTCCCTGGCCTCGAAACTTGTCCTTGACCCTGGCCGAACGAGCCATTAGAGTGTTGTTGTCGTCAAGCAGCGAAACACCTTCAAACGCCGCCTGAGGAAAATAAATAAAGGTTCGAATACACCATGTTAAATACACTTCATTAAATAGACCAGGACTTTTTTCTGGTGGTACGCAACAGTGTGCAGTACTAGCATTTTTCTTAGGCATCATTTATAAGTGCTGCTGTAATAGGTATTTTGCAGAACATTATGTAGTGAGTCCGTGGCGACAGCACTAGCCAGGTGGCCCTAAATCCTAAAGCTCAAGACTCCCTGTCTACACCGCTCTAAAAGTGGTAAAACAGACAAAGTGACATTTTTTAAAAAATGTAGTGAGTACGTGCATCTTTGTTTATGGTGGGGGAAAAGCCTTGAAATAGACTTTGCATGCGAAGGGCTAGAATTGTTTTTCTCCACTTGACTTATCCCATCTGGCTCGGTCTCTCCGCAGAACGGCGAATTCTTTTTTTTTAACCCTCAATGACCAACATATATTGCATAAGATGTTCTTCATTTTATAGAGCGTAGTTTTTGCCTGTTCTATTCTGTTTCTTATCTCAGTTATGCATCTTCCATCTGATGTTATCCATGTGCCCAGATACTTAAATTTCCGTACTTGTCCCAAAATAAGACCATTGACTTTTATTACACATTTAGGAATAATTTTGGCACAGAAGCTACGATGATCAATAAGGTCGTGCTCACAGGATAAGGCCCTTCCATTGCACTTCGATCAGGACCTACACATATAATCACAGGGTCGACAGAAAACCAAGGAGTAACACAATAAGCAATCTAAATGTCTCTTTCCCCGCCATTGGTGTATAGGGAATATAGACTTATACTTATTCAAATACAGTTATGTAATCTTCTGGAGCACTGTTATAGCTTTTCAAATCACTAGTGAGTGAGTGAGTGTGTAAGTGGGTGAGTGAGTGAGTGGGTGGGTGTGTGAGTGAGTGTGTGGGTGAGTGAGTGAGTGAGTGGGTGAGTGGGTGAGTGAGTGAGTGAGTGAGTGAGTGAGTGAGTGAGTGAGTGAGTGAGTGAGTGAGTGAGTGAGTGAGTGAGTGAGTGAGTGAGTGAGTGAGTGAGTGAGTGAGTGAGTGAGTGAGTGAGTGAGTGGGTGGGTGGGTGAGTGAGTGAGTGAGTGAGTGAGTGAGTGAGTGAGTGAGTGAGTGAGTGAGTGAGTGAGTGAGTGAGTGAGTGAGTGAGTGAGTGAGTGAGTGAGTGAGTGAGTGAGTGAGTGAGTGAGTGAGTGTCATTCAACCCACTAGAACCGCACAACGAGCGATAAACACCTGGTGACATAAGAGTTCTAGAATCGGATGATAAACCCGCGTACAGGTTCCAGAAACCCCGTTCAACCTTTAGGTTGTATAAGGTGCCCCGACTACAGCCCAGATGGGGCTTTAAAGTAGATAAACATATTGCGTCCCATACTGGGGCAATGTTTTCAATTCAAATCACGAATTCCGGCCTGAATGTATTGTGACTCTATTTCCTGCAGACCCATTCGCCCCAGTCTCTCTTGTCCAGCAATACAGCTTTCCTCAAATAAGCATTTCTTGTATGTATGGCATGCTTGTAGTGCATTATTGGTAACACAGCTTCAGTGATTTTATATCACGTATTCTTCGAGTCTCTCATTCTAGCTGACGATTTTACTTAGGACTTATTGGTGAATAGTGGTTATTTTTAAAGTATCCTTCTTCTTCTTCTTCTTCGATCCTTCTGTCAGAAAACTTATATCAGGAGGCCGGTAGCCTTTATGAAAGCTATCGTGCAATCCATATCCTCTTGTGTACCATACAGTTTTGTCTTCATTGTGGTTGGAACAGGCCAGATTGCGTCTCTGTTGTCAGCATACAGTTGACAGTGTTGGAGCACATGCTCAGCATTTTCGGGTGCCACGCTGCAGGGACACGTCTCCGTATTTCCTACACCGAAAAATTTGAACATATGTTGACGAAATCTGTTGTGCCCTGTCCTTAGTCTGAATATAATAGACTGTCCCTCTCTAGAGAGGCGATGAAGTGAGTCTTGGGGAGAAAATCTGGTGTGGGTATCCAGCCACCTTTCTTGGATACTAGATTGTATTAGTGTTTTCATCTCTTGGTGGGTTAAGTCGCTATTTGGTTGTACCATGTCACTGCCGCTTCTGGCCAATCTGTGCGCTATTTCATTGCCTTCCAAGCCACAGTGACCTGGAATCCACTGCAGTACAGATTGTTCTACTGAAGAGCCTAAGTAAATCAGCTGTTGCGTCAAGTCTACAAACTGAGTGTCTTTTGGGTTAACAATTGCTTGTAGAACTGACATAGCATCAGTCAGAAAGACCACTCTGCTATATTTGCTGTGCTGTTGTCCATTCAGGAAAGAACATGCCGCTAGAAGTGCTTCTGCCTCTGCTCTGTAATTGGAGGAATATGAACCTGTTGGTACAGCATGGTTGATTTTAAAACCATTTGGGCATTCTATGTATATTCCTCCTCCTCCGTCTCTTACTGCTCTTTTGGCTGAACCATCTGTATACACTCGAATCCAACTCTGGTGTGGGTAAAGTCTATTGATCTCTCCTTCTGTAGTTGATTTCATATCAGTGCTGCTCATTGATGATTTGGAGGAGACCCCTGTTACAGTGGTTCTGACTGTTGGTAGGCTATCCCTAAGCCAAGCGGGGCTGTCGTTGTAAGGTTTAAGTGGAACATTTGGTATTATGGGAGGGAGTTTAAGGACAGCGAGCTTGGCATTTGCGTTCTTAATAAAGCAAGTTCTCTTTAGTCTAGCCTTCTGGGGTTTCTGTAGTCGGCTGTACATGGGTTGTTCTTGAAAGTGGTGGTATTTGGAGAGCTGGGTGAGGATCTTTGTGTCTCTCCTATCTTCCAGATTATGGAGACCAGTAATTGTTTCCATATCTGATATGGGCGTCGAGCGCATTGCCCCTGTCATAATACGGAGAGCATGGTTTTGGATCTTTGAGACTTTCTGAAAATTTGATTTAGCTGCTGTGCCTCAAGCAGCTATTCCATATTCTAGTGTTGGCCTCACATAGCCTGTATAGGTCCTTTTAAGGACATTGAGGTTTGCCCCCCAGTCTGTTCCAGCTAACTTCCTCATCAGTTGTGTTCTCTTGAGTCCCTTGCTCTGTGTCTTTTCTATCTGTTTTCTCCATGTGAGTCTTGAGTCAAAGGTTACTCCTAAAGATGACGGTGAGTCATCATGTATCAGTGCCTGGCTGCCATATCTAAGTGAAACTTTCTGGGGTTTGGTAGAGAGACTGAAAATGGTGTGTGTGGTTTTGGCCCCATTTACAGGCATGTACCAGCTATTGGACCACCTCTCTAGAGTTCCGAGGGATTCTTGAAGCCTTGTCTGTGCTTTTTTCAGTGTCCTCCTCTGAACTCAGTAGCGCCAGATCATCGGCATACATAACGGCTTGAACTCCATTACAGAGGGTTGATTTTATGTCGTTAATGTAAACTAGGAAAAGAATTGGGGACAGAACTCCGCCTTGTGGAACTCCATGTGTCATTGAGACTGATCTGCTCCTTGAACCCTGTATCTTGACTCTTGCAGATCGATTTTCAAGATATTTTACGATCCACCCAAGCATGTGATGGGATATTCCACTTTCAAGTAGCTTTTGTTTCAGCCCATTTTTCCACACTTTGTCGAAGGCCTTTTCCATATCCACCCAAACTGCAATAGTGTGCTTTTTTTCTTGGAATGCATCTTCAATGTGTTGAGCAATAAATATAATTTGGTCTTCTGTTGATCTACAACGTCGAAAACCTGCCCGTTCCTCTATTAGTTTGACGTTTTTCTCTAGGAACCAGGTCAGTCGGTTGTTCAATAATCTTTCAAATAGTTTGCACAGACAGCTAGTGAGGCTGATGGGTCTGTAGCTGTCTGCGTTGTTCTTCGGCTTTCCTTGTTTCAGGATTACGAAGATTTCAGACTTCCTCCAATCTGGAGGAACTATACTAAAAATCCAGCTGGCATTAAAGATGTTTAATAATTTCTTTTTGGCACTTAGACCCATGTGTAGTAACATATCATTCGTGATTTTATCGGGGCCAGGGGCTTGGTTTGATTTCAGCTGGTTGAGTCCTGTGTTAAGTTCACTCATTGAGAATTTATCTGTCATGATGCTCTCTGCTGGTTTACTCTTGCTGGCCTCCTCGAGTTCTTTTATTCTTTGTACTACCTCATCTTCTCTGTACTTTTCTATATTAATATCACTAACAGATTTAAACTGATTCAAAAGGATATTTGCAGCATCGTTTCCAGATCTGATCTCATTGCCCTCATTTATTACTATTGGATTGGCTTGTTGGGCTTCTCCATTTAGACACTTGACTAATTTCCAGAGTTTGGACCCATCTTTTTCAAAACTTAGGCTCTTGGTTTTGTCTTGCCAGCTCTTCCTAGTTGCTTGAAGTGTTTCTTTTTTTAGCTTAGCTTCTGCTGCTTTGTAAGCAATGTTGTTTTCTACCGTTGGGTTGCTTTCTACTCTATCTCTTGCTTCTGAGAGAGTTTGGTGGAGGTCTTGAATTTGTTGGGACCAAAATGGGATGTAATCTTTCCTTGAACCCCGAGGTATGGACTCTTTGGCTGCTTTTAATATAGCTTCTGTAAACTCTTTTACTGATTTAGCAACCTGACTTGATTTGCCGTTTACATTTATCGAGTATACATCAGCAAGGTTAGCAAAACTGTTCCAGTCAGCTTTCTTGTAATTCCAACGAGGGGGCGGCATCGAATGAAGGCCTCTCATATTTAGAACAGAAATCAGGATCGGTCGGTGGTCACTACCTGCTAGTTGGCTGAGCACCATTTTATGTATGTTGCTTGCTAAGTCTAACGTGGCAAATGTTAAGTCTGGGCGGCTGGTTGAAAGCCATCTCCTGGAGAAAAAAGATGGGGAGTCATCTGGTTTGTTGATTAGCTGGAGTCTGGCATATGTCTGCCAGTCCTCCACTTCTTCTCCTCTCTCGTTGAGCTGTGCAATTTGTGAGGTAGCTCTTATTTTCCGGGGGTAACGCGGTGCTGGCCGCCATTGTACTGCCGGGGAATAACACTGTAATTGACAATAAACGTGTGGGAATTTGTTTAATTAAAACTAATACAAGTGTTGATGTGACAGAGTCAACTTACCACCTCCCCATCCACCTCACAAACGTAATAAGAGGAGTCTGGATCATTGATCAACTCGGTGTACTGAAAATAGAGATAGTCTGCTCCCAGGTTGAATTCCTTGGTAATGTCCAAAACAGCTTCATAGTCCTCTTCGAGGGCTTTCCTAACTACAATTTTTGGCGGTGCTGCCATTCTGTCATAACTGTGAAGAAACGATCTAAATTATATAGCCTTATTTTTTCTTGACATTGAAAACAAAAAGTTTGTTGCGTATAATTCCATTATGGGAAGTTTGGCTGTTTACTTTTAAGAGGCAATTTAACATTTAGTAGGCTGCCACTTCTTTCTCACTGACTCATAAAGCATGCTGAGGAAGATCAGGACAGGCATTCTTCGTGCAAAGTGGCATGCCTCGTTGCGGAGGACACTGGTGAGGAGTATTGTCTGGATTTTTTCATCGGGTTAGGCCACTGTGTTGGGAAATGAACCGGTGGACAGACTGGCTGGTTCTGTAAAACTTGGTGGACAACTGATGCATGATAAGGCAGACGTGGTTACTGCCTTGTGGGAGAGCGTGTACAGTTCGGAGGAGCAGACTGATCACCAGTCTCGTGAGACTGATGCAGGGGGGAGTGACGAGGGGTTCTGGCAGAGGCTCGAGGCTAAGAGGAAAGGCAAAACAGACATTTAATCAAAATGCTACTACGCTGGCTGGTGAAGATGGGGACGGAGCACTTATCTGGATTCCCCGAGTGCTGTAATGTCGGTTCTTAAATCAAATCAAATCAAAATTCTTGCTCAACGATCGGTTCACTACACAGTTGTCGAAAAGGAACGTATGCCTTGTTCAAGGAAATTATAATATGAACAACGGGTAACGTTATGATCTAAAGGTCTATAAATATGATAATATATTTGAAATATTATGATACGCATAAACAGAAACTAGCAAAGAGGACTTATTTACAAGTTTTATGTAGGGTGGGGAGCAAAACACTTTACACATTTCAACAGAAAAGGGGGAGGGAAGTGTCTGAACCCCCCCACCCCCCCCCCCCAATAACTATGGGGGAGAGAAAAACGAGGTATACGCCTCCAGATTCCGACGTATCTGAAAGCGCGCGCGCACGCGAATGAGAGAGAGAGTGAGTGAGAGAGAGAGAGAGAGAGAGGGAGAGAGAGAGAGAGAGAGAGAGAGAGAGAGAGAGAGAGAGAGAGAGAGAGAGCATATGGTACCTTCTATCATCATTTATTTTTACGAGTATGAATTTAACCACCTTGCCACCTTGTTCAATGCATTTTCTTCCTCTTTTTCTTCTTAGCGTTCACCAGTTGTAAACTTCAACGGAAAGTTCAGGCTGTTCGTCCACTTCTGGACCTTGTTCCGGAACTTGAGCTTTGCATGTACATGAGTTTAACAGATCCAGCTGATGTGTGTGCAGACTACTCCGATTTCGAAGGAAACACGCCCATATTTCACCTTTTATGACATGCTTGAGGTTTTGGGACAACGCCCCCCCCCCCTTTCGCCCCCAAATCAAATGGGGCTGTGGAACATACACGGGGGAAAATGCTTTTAAATGTATAGGTCCTATTCACGTTTCCCGGCTCATCTACACACTTTTTTTCAGCCAGGGCTGTCAAGTTGTTCTGTTTTCTTCGAAAAGAGTCACTCGTGGGACCTAGACTCAGGCTGTGGGTAAGAGGGGGGGGGGGGGGGGGGTTATTAGGGCCAGTTCTAGATGTTCTGGAAACCTTAAAATCTGTGTCGTTGTGTAGTATAGAACACGCGACATTGGTGCTGATGTAATTGGAGGCAAGAAAACGTGACACCCCTCTGACCTAGAACAGTCTGAGAAAGTGTGAATGAAAGGTCAGCCAGTGTGTAGATGGGCCGGGAAACTTGAATATGAGCAATTTATAAGGCGCCACATTTAAATTGTCATAATAAACACGCGCTGATACTTACATGTGTAATAGCTTAAACCAATAAAATGATACGCTTCACTGTCTGAAACACCACATCTGTTTCTGGCGATGGTTCAAGGTTCATATTTTGTCTTATGATATGACAACCACAATCTTAGGTACCACTATTCCAAAAAAAGTCGTTATCCCATAACATTACCTTTGACCCGAGAAACAGAAACGAACTCTGGGCTGCTTTAGTACACACAGTAGTCCTTAACAATGTTACAATGACTAATTTTTTGGGGGCTGAACTTGCATGAGATTGCATAATCTGAAGCTATGCATATTCTTCAACATACAGGTAGTTCATAGGCCTGAACTATTATCATATATTATACTGTTTAATAATATCTTATGTTTACAATTTTATATTTTCACTGTGTTGTTAGTGAGCTTAAGAGTGATGCGCACACCATTACACGTTGGTATAAAAAAAAATTGAGTGTCACATTGTAGCTTTTTCTAAAACAGCTACAGAAGTCTACTACTCAAGAGAGGCACACACAGCTAGTTTATGGCTTGTATATTAGTCTGTTGGGGATGTCCCTTGAGTACACCATAAACCAGCCAACACCTCCCTTGGAAAAAGACATTACTTCAACTCTTTTTTTCCCTACCTTTTTGTTGCACGAGCCTGGTCTACGTGTGGGTTCGGGGACCAGAGTCATCTGACTTGACTACAGGCCTAACCGGTTGTTTCTCCCGGTCCGTTCATCTCACTATCCATCTGAGGGTCGCTCTACTCAAGAGCCGGGCTGTGGCATAAGTGACTTGGTCATTTTTACAAGCTCAAAGTACGTTTTCAAAAATCCATTAGCCCGTCTAACCAAATAGGCGTCCCTTTTATTTGTAAACACCACGTCTAGTTTTTAGACACACACACACACACGCTTTACTGTTATAGAAATCAACTCTAACCTGCAAGATTGAAGGTTATTATTGAGTAGTCCAGGTGTAAGGAAACTATGCACCTATTCCTTCAAATGCCCGGATAAAGCAGTTTATGATGGTACATACTATGATCAGGGACAGTACAGTAATACAAAGGGCCAGTTCGGCCGAGGTAAAACTCCAGCTTTCTGGTAAAATTATTGGGCCTAGACAGGCGTGTGTCTGTGTGTGTTCGTGAATATTCTTCAGATTATAGAGTAGTACCCCCTTGTACCAGAATGAAAACCACTGGATTTTTGGCACTGTACCAACAGGCCTTTATAATTATCTGTATCTCTTTTTCCCAAGTGGAAATGTATCGTCATAGATATCTTCTTAGATCTACATCGATCCATATTTTAAATTATTTAGGATCACTGGGGGAAAAGAGGGGTGGGGGTGGGGGGGGGTGGGGTGTGGGGGGTTCATATATTAAAAAAAATTATCATGTGCTTTCGATTACAATTGTAATGTCCTACAGTTTTAGGTATCACTCGATCACTCGGGGTACATTGATGCAGTACTATTATCATGCAAAGGTCCAAAGTCATTACCATTAGTTACAGTTTATTGCAGTGTGTGGAAACACTACTAACAAAACAGGAGAAATTGACTCGTCCTGCAACTATTGTTCGCGTTTAAATCACAATAAAATTGATGAACTCAGTTCATCCCTATCGTCGATTGTTAACACGGGGACATAATTTATGCAGTTGGTGAAGAACACAGTTCTGCGAGAAGGTAAACGCATCCGGCCGAGGGATCCACAAAGTGAACCAACAGGTGCCCCAGTGGGAATGTGGTGCTATCCCACTCATCGTTGGTGCATGCAGAGGATTTATTGCACAATCTCTGTTATTCCCCCCCCCCCTTTTTTTCCAAGTTATCTGGCTACCTTATGTCAGTACACCTACATGTAGCCCATGTTTTCCACAATGGAAGGACAATAACAACATTTTTTATGAGCAGCTGTCTGTGGTTGGTATTCTGCAACTCGTATTTGTATGATCCATGAAAATATTCAAATCTTAGATTGTCTACTCTATGAATTGTTTATTGTAAACCAGAAGGCTCTATTGAAGTGGGCGACTGTTCAAACAAACTGTATAACGTCAGGTGCTCCCGTATGACCATCAGAGAGAGAGAGAGAGAGAGAGAGAGAGAGAGAGAGAGAGAGAGAGAGAGAGAGAGAGAGAGAGAGAGAGAGAGACAGTCATGGTTTTAGTAAACATAAAATATCAGATAGTGTAGAAACGTAGGCAACCAGATGTATTCATTGTTCCTCTTTTATTAAAAGTCCTATTATTATGTTTAAGGTGTCAGGTCTTGGTCAGATATGACTGAGCTACCCTATAACAGTAACCGGTACCACCTGTCTTCTGTAACGCCGAATGTTGGGCGGCCGGCGTATACTAACCCAACATCTCATATTGTGCCAACGGCTTCGGGCGGAGGAGAGCTTTGGGAAAGAAACTAGCCTTATCCTAGGAAGAGGAAATGCAACCTGAAAACTTTGTGTTATGGCAGGGCAGAGCAGGCCCTTCGCCTTGGCTGGCAGCTGGTCTAGGAGGGAAGCTCTGACAGGCGGACAGATAGAGCACTGCTCTTCTGATCCGGCAGCTTCTGCAACCTGCCTCGTTCCAAACGTACTGGTTTTACCTTTCCTTTGGAGTGAACAAGGCAGGTCGAGGGAGGGATCATTATGCATGGGCAACATATGGTCTCTACAATACTGCCTAGGCTTTGTGTTATGGAGAGGAGGAACTTCACAATAGTCCTGAAATCCCATGCTATCATTGTGGAAGACTTTTCTTGACACAGGCGGGTCTTGGTAGTCACACTCGCCATCGCCATGGTCTGTAAGTCTCATGCCTCCTCATAGCGCAGTATAACATGACATGGGAGTTAAGCATGGTGAAGCACGTCTTTGCCGTCTTCAAGGCCGAGAAAGGAGACAATATAACCAGCTTCTCATGGGTACAGTTAGTAGAAGTACTTTGGAGTGGCTGCTGCTTCGGAGGGCTGAGCACGCATGGGTATGCCCAATGTGCAGTGACGTCGATTGTGATTTTAAAAAAACCCCGTAAAATAACACCTTGTAGGGAGTCGGCAGTCCGAAACCCAAGTTCAAGTGTCTCCTTTGTGCCAAAGAACTGCATGGCTGTTGGGTGAACAGTCGTTAAAGAAGGCAGTCAGGTCGTTGTAGGGGCGACTCCTGCTGGTGGATGTAATGTCCTAAGTCCCTTCCCCAGCTAATAGTGAGGGTACTGCTGGGGTGACCATTTATTAATCCTCATATAATGCTTCAGGTCAAAATGGACTCTAGGCACGGCCACTTTTTTTAAAGCCGTGGCAAATCTGTTTTTTTCTGCCAGACGGTGGCCATTGCATTTTTGTTCCATTTGTAGACTGGAAGGACATAGTTTCGTCGCCCAGCTTCTGAGTTGAGTGCATGGCGTGACACTGTGAGCTAGTGTGTTTTTCGTTGGCACAGGAGCGGAGCAACTATGGGGTGACCCGTTTGCTATGAAGCTGAAACTAGGATTACCAGATTACCAAATTACTATCGTCTGAAAAGACGGAAAGGTGCCAATGATGATGATTACATTCAATATTCACATGGTGGCCTGGAGAGAACGGCGATGGAGGGTACTGTTTCTGGAAAACAAAGCAGAGGCAGACCCCGCGAAGTTAATCTAACATGCTGGCGGAAAAGATTGTAGACTATTAGCCTGGTAATCATTTTGGCTTGGCTTCACTTGCGAAATAAGACTGTTAGACTTGGAGGTCGGAAGTGGCCAGGGAATCTCGGTGGTTAAATAAAGCAATAAAGCCCCGGCAGGAAAATGGTTTCTCTTGTCTCTTGGCTTGTTAAATGTGCGTTAGCGGCGGTAAGACGAGAAATATGTAATTTCTACTTTTCGTCGTGGAACTGCACGTGGTTCTTAGCGCGACATGGCTTCAGAGGACTGAGCGGAGATAGATGGAATGGCTCACTGGTTTAATGGTGGTGGTACGTTCAGCTGTCAGAGTGTGTTAGATCTGGATTTTCATCAGTAGTTAGACTGTGTTAGATTTAGATTTCCGTATATATTCTGTCTCGGAGATTTTTGAGTGCAGATCGCAGGAGGCGAAATGTTATCTTTGTTAGCTTTTAAGCATAGCACAGGGTCGATGTGAACACGATGTTGACCGTAATGTATTGTTTTCTGTGAAGCACGTTAGTTTTGTTTTCAGGAAAATAAACAGATGTTGAATGTGATGGTTATGTTTCATTTGTTTGGTTCGGAATAAAGGTTAAAGTCGAGAGGATCGACTACATTGTACCGGGTTTTATCTTATACGGCTCGGTCTCTCTCTGCAGAACGGTTGCCGCCTGTGGTGAGCACAACGCAGAGCACAAACTCCGTAGGTCCGGTGACGATCCATAGGTATCTCCATAAAAAATGCACTCGTGAATTGAAGGACACAGCCGTGGAACGAACTCTCGACCTTTCAAGCGCGAGGCAAATGGCTTGTCCATTTCGCTAAATATGACTTGTAGTTCGTGCAAGATGTCCTACTAGGCGTTGCCTGTATCATATGTTGTTGTTGTTTAACTCACTATTCATATATTCACTGCCTGGGCTATGTGCAATAGTTGCGCGCCGATTTGGGTTAAGTGTGATATTGTGGGAAGGGACAATGGTATGCCTGTACTTCCTGTAAGTTCACGAGGAAAGAGTGTCAATATAATCCGAGTATTAAGAGGAGACCAGTGAAAACGTCTATTCATGAACAAGGCGTGCGTGCACGAGAGAAAGGGGACGCGTAGGAATCTGTGTGGTGGGCTGAAAGCGTGGATAACGAGATAAAGTATGAATTAAGTGACAGCGTGATTCTCGGGTAACGTCAGCCACCCACATAAGCGTGATCCCCGGGAACGCTCACATGCGTGCCTCTCGTGTATTCACCATCTACCTACACGGATTCGACATATATAAATTGGGCTGCGTAGACAGTCCAGAGAGAGAGCTGTAGCCTGAGGGCTAAAGCCCCTCGGGGGCAGTCAAGATAGAGCGAGAAGCGAGAAGAGAGAGAAAACGAGAGTCAGAGACCAAGTCAGGGTCCAGGTAATCTCTCGAGTCTAACAGACAAACATACCGTACGACTATCGGGCATTTAGGTCCGAGTAAGTGTCGGGATTGCGGTATGGAAAATATGGTCCCGCTGGCAAAGTAAGTCCAGGGGACGGGAAGACCAGTAGTGCCTGGTTTCGGAGTACGGCAAGAGAAGTTCGTCTCCAGTCAGCCGTGTTGTATGCTGAATCAATATCAAGGTCCAGTGAATGGGAGAAGTCGTCCTGTTCAGCTGTACGACGCGTCCAGAGAGTGGGACGCCATCATCCTGGTGTCTGCAGTAGTCCAGGAGAGGTCACTACACATTGAGAGATAGAGAGCTGTGAGGACAAATGAACGATGTGCGAATGTCAGCTGTGATCAATAACTACGTCTCTGCATTTGTGTCATGTATCCTGTTAAATAAACTTGTATGACGGTGTCATCGTCGTCGAGTTGTCTTGTTAAAAAAGGAAGCTGAAGAGTACCTGCTAGACACTTGGTAGTGTGCGATCAGAGGCAACTCCATTTAGCACACAACAGCAATATTTCATGGTACATTATCTTTTCTTTACTTCTCCTGTTTTATCAGTTCAACGGGGAACTACTTATTGGCCTAACCTAATTTATTTCCTCAACTGCCTGCTCGTTGTCTTTTTCCTCTTCCCGCTTGCTCAGTAGAAACAAGAAATTAAAGTGCATTGGCTATGAAAGCACATAGGACTGAAGAACTGGCCAGAGAAAGAGAGACTGCAGAGGTGCCGTGACGAGAGCGACAAATGCAATAGATCTGCTGATTGAATCTGATGATATTACCTAATCAGTTTAAGTTTGACAAAGACACAAAATGTAAGATCACTACGATCGTCATGTACCTTGTCTAATTGTTTATGCGTGCGTGTCTCTCCACACATCTGCATCCTTGATATTGTAGATCAATTGTTTTGATGAGCCCCCCCCCCCCCACCCACCCCCCAAGCAATCCTCTTGACCATCCAGCATGATCTCTCTCCCCTCCCGTCTCTGCCTATTTTACCATAGATATTTCCGATCTTTTATAATTCAAAGCAATTATTTTTTCATTACAAAATTTAAATATTTCGGTCACAAACAACAGCTGCACAGATTAGTGCCCGACATATTAGCGAGATACAACGGGGAAAAAAATATCAGCATTATTTTAATTCCCACAAAGTTAACACAGTCCCTAATATCATCATACAAATCGTCCCCCCCCCCCCCCTTTCTCCCTTTCCCCCTCCCCATATTTGTATTCTTTAATCATATTTCGTTAAGCATCTCTTCTTCTTCTTCAGCGATCTCTGGTCATGCGCATAATCCACTGTGGGTCATAAACTGGTATGTCTTTTCAAGGTCTCTTAGGTTTCCCCAAAGCTTAGTTGTCAGTTCTACTGAGTGTTGCCATATGTCGCTCCGCAGCTCCGCCAGGAGAGGACAGTCTTGCAGGACATGTTCTGGAGTCTGTTCAGCACGAAGGCACCGGCAGAGAGCTGTTTGGCTCATACCTAATTTATGTGAGTGTTTATTGAGTCTGCAGTGTCCAGTGCGTAAGCGAAAAACTGTGACTTGGTCTGTTCTGTTCAAGTGTTTCCGAAAATCTTTTCCGTAGTTATAACCAGTGTTGTTTTTCCAATCTGTTTCTGATTTTCTCCTAATGAGAGTTTTGACTTCTGGAAAAAATAGTGGCTGGTAGGTCTGTGGTTTGTTACTGCCTTCCTTGGCTAAAGCATCTGCGCTTTCATTGCCTTTGATGCCACAGTGTGACGGAATCCACTGCAAGTGAATTTCTGCCTTATTTGACAACATAGCAAGTTCATGTGTTAGACTTTGTAGTGTGCTGTCGGTAGGTTTGGACTGAAGGGCCTGTAAAGCTGACAGTGAGTCAGTGAGAAAAACTATCCTGCCTGCGGTGATTTGCAGATTGTTAAGCATCTCAAGGCGACTGTATTTAGTTGCATAATCTGCAGTATTCAAAGAAAGCATTTCACCACTTTCTGCAGTCTTTCCTTCAAATATCAAACTTTTATACAGCAAACAAATTCAACACAAAATTTCAGTGCTCTCGTTTTAACATTTAATTTAAAAAAAAAAAATAAACTCAAAGCATACATATTTTAACTGATTCATGAATTGCGAGCAATTTTTAATTTTAAAACATGGTATAATTATACATCATTGTTTATTGGAATGCAAGAATTATGAGTTGACATACAGCTATCATCAGTTCTAAGAGAAATTGTTCAGTAGTGCACATGTGCCTTCTGGTTATTTTTGTTGTTGTTGTTGTTGTTGTTGTTGTTGTTGTTGTTGTTGTTGTTGTTGTTGTTCTTCTTCTTCTTCTTCTTCTTCTTCTTCTTCTTCTTCTTCTTCTTCTTCTTCTTCTTCTTCTTCTTCTTCTTCTTCTTCTTCTTCTTCTTCTTCTTCTTCTTCTTCATCATCATCATCATCTTCTTCTTCTCCTCCTCCTCCTCCTCCTCTCCCACCCCCTGTTCTTCTTCTTCTTCTTCTTCTTCTTCTTCTTCTTCTTCTTCTTCTTCTTCTTCTTCTCCTCCTCCAACTTTTTTCGTATTTGTTTCTGCCTCCTTCTTTACCTTTCCATTCTTCTTGTATCCTTTTTTCTCATTCACCGTGTCATCATCATTATCTATTAAAACAACAGAAAAGATATATGAACTCTTGCCAATGAGCTTTGCAAACTGATCTTAAATTTTACTCGAATGTTCTGGATGCAAGTTTTAAATGGTCTCCCCCTTGCTCTGTGCTCAACACATGTCTTCAGCAAGGCCATCTCTGGTAACTAATACCGTGGTATTCTAGCCAGCTAAACAGTTTGTACTCGACTAATAATTCGCAAGTTGTTCAAACTCTTGTTCAAAAAAGTTTTGACTCGTAAATGCTCCCATTTTATCGCGATAAAACCCCAACGGTGCTACGATATTTTTGCATACCTGTAAAAGTTCATCAGTGTCTGTGCTAATGCCCAAAGCGGGCGGAAGTTTTGAATGATCCTGTTCCATTACAGAGACTGCCTGTTTCAAGCCATGGAATATAAAAGGCCTTAATTCGCTGTCTTCTTGACCCTGCACCGGTTTCCCGTAGATTTCAATGTTGAAAAAAATCATAGTTGGAGTTTTGTAGTGGCAACAAAAAACTAAGAGACCGCGTGCTTTTTCCTTGGAATTCGTATAAGACTTTTCTATATTAGAAGTAGAAGTTAACTGTTCTATACTTTCTCCAAGTACAGCTGATATGCTTACACATGGATGCTGCTTCTTGATGTGTTTGATGTTGCTGACCAATGGATCAAAAAACCATGAAATAACGACCAGGAATCCCAAAGGAAACAGATATGTGGACAATTCCTTCTCCTCAAATAGGTAGCGAAGAATTTCAGGGTCAACGGTCCGGACTTCAGGGATGTCATCAGTATAAGCGGCGGGTACTTTTACAACATCGAGAGGATCATATACTGTCAAAGCCTGAAATAAACACAGTTTATATATATATATATATATATATATATATAATATATATATATATGTAAATATATAGCATATGATATATGTGTCATCAGCCAAAGTAAAGAGCTTCTGTAACAAAAGACAGAAAAAATGACATAAATAGTAAAACAGACAGGGTTAAGAATCGATGTCAGTAAAACAAAACTGCTGGAGGTTAACCCGAAAAGTGAAAGACCCATAGTAATAGGTAATGTAGGTTTGGAATCAGTAACTGACTTCACTTACCTGGGAAGCAAAATTTCTTCCGATCGAAATGTAGTGCGTTAGGACAGTTCTCCTCTGAGGAACAGAATCTTGGAAAACAGACAGAAAGCTAGAGAGCATGCTCAGAGGTTTTTAGGAAAGACTTCTTAGAAGATTGTTGGGGATCACATAGGAAGATAAAATCAGCAATTCTAGATTACAACAAATGACAGAAAATGTAAATTTAGAAATTACAAAACAAAGATGAAGGTGGATTTGACACGTCCTCAGAATGAAGAAAGGGAGATGGTCGAGACAGGCAGTGTAATTGACACCACAAGGACAGCGAGGAAACATTAGGTCCAGAGTCACTTCGAGACGAACTTTTGAAGCCGAACTCAAGGCTACGAGAAGGACAAAACTGGAGATAGAGAGGATGGCTCAGGATCGAATTGAGTGGCGACAGTTTGTCTCTGCCTTATGTGCCTCTGGGCGTGATGAGGATTCGCACACACACACACACACACACACACACACACACACACACACACACACATATATATATATATATATATATATATATATATATATATATATATATATATATATATATATATATATATATATATATATACATATATGACCTAGCCTTAGATATGACCTAACGGCTGAAAAGGGTTTCTGGGACCTCTCTATGGGTGATCCTCATCAGCATGGTGGCACTTTGTGTCACCAGGTGTTTATCGTTTGTGTGATATCCTGGTGGGTTACAACGACATACCTACCTATATATAGGCTGCAGAGTTACCGCTCTTGTATTTCCCTTCCACAGAAGCAACGATAGCGCAGTCGCTAGAAGCTTCTCCGTCGACTCAATGGTCTCTGGGTTTGAATCCTCTCCGAGTGGCTGTTTTTCAAATTGATTTCTGAATCCAGGGTGGACAGAGCCTAAAATGGGTATCATATAATGTCCTGGGAAGTAAAAGTAGTCGGGATGATGTATGTATGTAAGTTGTACCCCATGATAACACAAAGTCGATATACACCCGGTGACAAAAAGTGCCACCATGCAGATGAGGATCACCTGTGGAGAGGTCATGGAAACCCCGTTCAGCCGTTAGGCTATATTAAAGGCTCGGCTATATTTAGTGCCCCCGGCAAAAGCCAGGCTGGGGCTTAAAATAACTAAATATTGCATCCCACATAGAAACGAAGCTAGCGGCATGATGCTGAACTCATCACCCCTTGAAAACGGATTATTTTGGAGAAAATGTGTGTCTACCAACGCGCATGCTGAATGCGCCACAGTAATCCACACCCCCCCCCCCCCTGTTTACTTCTATATTGGCTCCGTGACACATTTAGTTTTTTTTAATGCGTTCATCCATATATTTAAATCTTTTTTAATTTTATTTTTCATTAAAAAATATTTTTTTTTTTGGCATTTGTATCTTAACATTAGTGCTGTTTTGCTCGCCTATTAGGACAAATAAGATAACTATACACATCTTGAGGAGAAGCGACCAGAGAACCATCAAAAGACACTTAAACTGGAAACAAATGGACCAAGCAGGCGAATACGTCAAAAAAAAAAAAAAAAAAAAAACTATAAGATGAATGTTAGAGAGGCCTACGTTTTTCGATTAGATTCCATTCATGATACTGAAAAAAAAAATTGCACAATATACAGTGGATTAGAGGAATAGACTCCGAGGGCTATGCGATGTACAACGGCACACATGATGATGGTGGTGATATCTTACCCTAGTCCCAAGGAATCTGTTCTGGCTCCTGAACGTAGCGCTGTCCACCAGTCTGACAATATTCGTGCAGCAATTTCGAATTCGCTTCTGCCCAGGAACATCTTTATAATCGTCATAGATTTTCTTTCTAATCCGATTCAGGAGTCCCTGGCCTCGAAATTTGTCTTTAACCCTGGCGGAACGGGCCATTAAAGTGTTGTTGTCATCGAGTAGTGAAACGCCTTCAAATGCCGCCTGTGGAAAATAAACAAAGGCTCGAATACACCAAGTTAAATTCACTTTATTAAGTAGGCTAGGGCTTTTTTCTTCTGGCGGTACGCAACAGTATGCAATATTGGCATTTTTTGTAGGCATCATTTAAAAGTGCTGATGTAATAGGTATTTGGCAGAACACATGCTGGCCGAGTGATTACACCATCTGGCTCTCAGGTAGGAGACCCAGGTTTAAAAAATGGACCAAGCATGCGAATACGCCCCCCCCCCGACCCTCTCCCCCCACCCAAAGTAAAGTAAAGTAAAGTGATGAAATTTTTCTGTCGGGGTGCAAAATTAAACACCATAACCTGCACAGTCCATGGCCACAGCACTAGCCAGGTGGCCCTAAATCCATAAGCTCAAGACTCCCTGTCTACACCGCTCTAAAAGTGGTTAAACAGACATAGACAAATGTGGTGAAAAGCGTCTTAGGAATTTTAAATGGCCAAGAAAATGATTTTTATTGATCCGTGCTTGCTAAAGTCTCAAAAAGCTTATGTACCACCCAACACAGTAAGCGATAACCTACGTGATTTGGATACACAAATGCAACATATCATGGAAAATGAAGAGCTGTGACCACGTGACAAAGCCCGACTATGTCAACAAACGCTGCAGCGTTAATTGACTTGTCTCGCTCAGTAGAGATACAAGTCGTTGGATGTAGTAGATATCAAAATGCCGTCCCAAGCTACAGAACAACAACAACAAATGACCATGCTTAAAGATGAAATCACTGACACGCCGAATCAGTCACTGCCTATTAAAAGTCGAAAAGAGACTGTTGAACTAGAGACGCCAATTGTATCGTTGTCGTATACGCTCAGGCAAAGAAAGGCGACAATGTCTAAAATACCGACACCTCGGTGGGAACAATAGTTGAGTCACTGAGAAAATTTTACGACCAGCAGAGACAACCTAGTGTATATTAGTGAAGCTGTCGCTTTAAAATGCGGTACCAAAATCAGGCTAAAAATGTCAAAGAATGGTTAAGTCACCAAGATGCGTACACTCTGCATAAACCAGTCTCGGCTTTCAAGAGACGTCTGATTATAACTAGTGGCATCAACCAACAATTCCACGCTGATCACATGGATATGCAAAGTCTACGAAAACACAATGAAGGGACGTCGTACTTGGTCACTTGCAAAAACGGGATCAGTAAATATGCCTGGGCGATCGCTATAAAGAACAAAACAGGGAAAGCTTTAGTGGAGGTGGTAAGTAACATATTTGCAGAACGGAAACCGATCAACTTGCAAACAGACAAAGGCTCGGAATTCCGTAACCGGACATTCTTTTAAATTCTTAAAGATGAGGGTGTTCGTGTATTTCCTAAAGAAAGCTTCAACCGCACCTTGAAAGAAAAGACTTGGCTTTATTTCGCTTAAACCAACAAGCAACGATATATCAACGTCGTAGGTCGTTTAATCCACAATTACAATCATTTATCTCACTGGAGTATTCATATGACACCAGTCCAAGTTAACCACAGTAATCAAGAAGAGGGGTGGCAAACGTTGTATGCAAAGGCTGATGTCACAGACAAACAAGTGTTCATAGAAGGTGATCGTGTCCGGCTCATGCAAGCCTAACATACACTCAAAAAAAGGGGGTAATGAATTAACGGGTATGACTCGGGTGAGGAACTACGATTATCGTTTTTCAAAAAACAATACAGAAAGTCGGTGTCGGAGAAGCTCATCGTATCGAGCACTTTATACAAGACAGAAGAAACATCAGAGATGCTAAAGAATATTTAGTAAACTTTTTTGGGTATTCTGCCTCATTCAACAATTGGATAGCCGACAACACCTATCATTGTACGAAAAACAGTGTTGTGGACAAAGAAGATGTGGTGGATGTAAATACCGTCTTATCTACCGAGGTAGAACCCTCTGGCGAACAACCTTGTCTTGGTTCGGTAAACTATGAACG